GACGCCAAAATAAGAGCAAACAAGAACAATTGCAGAGTTCTGGAAGTGGTTGTGGCAAGGTTCATGGTGCAGCTTTTTGTTTCTGTGCAGGATGTTCGAAACCTTTCTTGCAGCCAACAGGCGGTCGCTCGTGAAAATATTCAAACATGTTCAAGTATTCGATTGAGTCGAGAAATGATATGTTGAGTCATAAGTAAGCACTAAGTCAGCTCCATATTTGTGTGTGCACTGGTACCTGGTACTATTTTCTTCGACCTCAACTTACCGACCAGTACCAACACCAAGTTGGAACTTGCGAGTAGTCTGGAGGACTTCATGGGGCTGATAAAAGGAGCTGGACATTCCGCTGAAGTATTCGACCGTATCGGTTGCTGTGGACATTCTTCCTCACCAAAGAAGGACGAGGAAGTTGTTCTTGATGCACAAACAAAGAATTTGGAAAAAAACAGTATATCACACTTTCGACGTTGACATCAGCTCCTCCTTTCAGCAATTTTTGAACAAGTACATGGTTTCGTTCCCGCGCGGCTTTCAGTAGAAGACCGTCATCAAACTGTCTCCGCAATATTGTCGAAGTATTTATCATAAGCACTAAACCAGCTCCATTCATTCATCTTGTCGCGTTTTTGGAAATTTGCGTCGCATTTTCGTCGCATTTTCCATGAAATTGAGAGTACCTAGTGTAGCTCCTCTCACTCTAGAGCATTGTTTATCATAAAAGACACATCGAAATAGCTTGATAGCCCCAACAGGGCGGAGAATAATGGGATAATTCGATTCGAAGAAAGATAAACTTTTACTTAAGGCTGCGGAGGAAGGAGATCATCTACTTGTTCAAGAATTGCTGAAAATAGGAGCGAACATGAACGTCAAAAACATGCTTGGATGGAGACCCTTGGATTTGGCATGCGTTGGTGGCCATTTAGAGGTAGTCAAGGTACTTGTTGCGGCAAAACGTGCTGATGTCAACGTCCAACACAGATGGCTTCGAACGACAGTATTGGATTTGGCATGTGGTTACGGTCATTTGGAGGTAGCCAAGTTACTTGTCGAGAAAGGTGCCGACGTCCGTGCCAATGGACCGGCACGATTATATGGTGC